TCCTGTCAAATGCTGCAGCCAGGGGTCTGCCAAGTTCACTTCAGACCTTCAACTTACAGCCGACCAAGCTGTATGCTGAGTGACCAGATTTCAGAACTTCATTTCCCAAGGGCATTCGGGACTAAATCAGGAGGGTTTTGGGGGGGGGGTTATTTTTTTTTCCGGTCATGGGGCTTGAACTCTGGGCCTGGGTGCTGTCCCTCAGCTCTTCAGCTCAAGGCGAGTGCTCTACCACTTAAGCTACAGCGCCACATCCGGTTTTCTGGTGGTTTATTGGAGATAGGAGTCTCATGGTCTCTCCTGCCCGGGGTGGCTTTGAACCACGATCCTCAGATCTCAGCCTCCTGAGTAGCTAGGATTACAGGCGTGAGCCACCAGCGCCCGGCCGGTGTTTTGTGTTTGTGCATGTGCGTGTGCGCGTGAGTCTGTCTGTGTGTGTGACAGGTGTGGGGTTTGAACTTGGGGCCTAGTCCCTGTCCCTGAGCTCTTGCTCAAGGCTAGTGCTCTACCACTTAGAGCCACAGCACCACTGTGGCTTCTTCTGGTGGTTAAGGTGCATGGGTTGGCTTGGAACCACGATCCTCACTCAGATCTCAGCCTCCTGAGTAGCTAGGATGACAGGCAAGTGTTACTTATTCTGAAACTCTGCCCTGTAGGTAGGTCAAAGGAGAGAGAGGACTCGCGCCGCCCCGCATGCACGCACATGTCCCCCACAGGGCCAAGCCGCCCCCGTCCTCCCGGGGGCGCTTACCAGATTCCCATGCCGGAGGTGGCATCTTCATCGGCGAAGGGGGACCCAGCTCCAACAGCGTCTCAAGTCCCCGCTCCTCGTCCAGGACCATGAGCGGCACCCCACTGAGGGGGAGGTGTGCAATCTGGTGTTCTTCAGGCAGGTCGAAACTCTCAAAATCTGTCACAAAGGCAAAGCACCATCGGAACACCCGGATGCAATGAACCAGTATTTCAAAGCCGTCAGTGCGTGCTCAACGGGGATACCACGTGGGAAAGTCAACCAGCTGACCACTCCCAGCGGGGAACAAGGCTCACGGACGGGGTCTCAGATTCCATACTCCAGCTACACCAGCAGACACAGCCACTGCTGAGTGCTAGCGAGGAAAGGGCTAAGATTGCTTTCAGCCAGATTTTCTTCATTTGCTTCAACCAAAACTCACCCAGATCCAGCACAAAATCCAACAAGGATCTAGTTCTTAGATTAGTCAAATTCATAAATATAAGCCACGCCATTCTGGCCACTCAATTTTCTGGCTTGGAAAACTTGATGATTAAAAGTACAGGCAGGGGCTGGGAAGGTGGCTCAGTGGTAGAGCGCTTGCTTTGTATACATGAAGCCCTGGGTTCAATTCCTCAGCACCACATAAGGAGAAAAAGCTGCAAGTGGTGCTGTGGCTCAAGTGGTAGAGCGCTAGCCTTGAGCTCAAGAGCTGAGGGACAGCGCCCAGGCCCAGAGTTCAAGCCCCACGACTGACCGGAGAAAAAAAAAAAAAAGTAAAGGCAGCCTGGCACCAGTGGCTCAGGCCTATAATCCAAGCTACTCAGGAGGCTGAGATCTGAGGATTACAGTATAAAGCCAGCCCAGGGCAGGAAAAGTCCGTGCAACCCTTATCGCCAATTAAAAATCAGAAGTGGTGCTGTGGCTCAAAATGGTAGAGTGCTAGCTTTATAGCAAAACGAACTCGGGGACACCACCCAGGCCCTATGTTCAAGCCCCACCTAGAGGGTTGAAGGGGATGAATTTTTCTATTTCTGGGTAGGTGTCATCAGAGGCAGGAACAGAGCTCGATGCTTTCACAGTCTTCTCAGTAATCTAGAACAGTGCAAGAAAAACAAATCAGTGAGAAGGAAAGTCTGAAACATGCACAGACTGTACACAGGGCCTCTCTATACGTGACTTGTATCATGTTGTAAACTCTGTGAATTTTTTTTTTTTTTGGTCAGTCATGGGGCTTGAACTCTGGGCCTGAGCGCTGTCCTTTGGCTCTTCAGCTCAAGGCTAGTGCGCTACCACTTGAGCCACAGTGCCACTTCTAATTTACTGGTGGTTCATTGGAGATAGGAGTCTCTAAGATTTTCCCGCCCAGGCCAGCTTTGAACCAGGATCCTCAGATCTCAGCCTCCTGAATAGCTAGGATGACAGGGGTGAACCACCAGCATCATGCTCATAAGTCTAAGAAGCCAATTTCTCAGTTTTAATGATTACATCTAGAAGGAACTCCAAACAAATCAAATAAAATCCTAGCAGAACAACTCTCAGGAAAATTTACGTCTCAGCACCTGGAAGCATAGGCTATGCA